AAAATAAATCGCCCTATTAATATTTCATATTTAATAGAAGGTTAGAAAACAAATAGACCACCTTCTATGTTCAGCATCACTAAGAGCATTTGCTAGCTCTTCCTCACACTTTCTAGCGGCTTTATATTCTGGCTCAAGTTCTGCCAAACGCTGTTCCACTTGCCTAATCATATTATTAACTTTAGCGAGTTGATCAGCTGCTCTTTCGCGAGCCGATTTACCACCACGCAAGGTAGCAGAGTAGTCAGCAATGCTTAATTGAAGCTGCTCGCGACGCTGTAATACTTCACTAACAGAATGCTGGACTTGTTCAACTTCATCTTGCATCTGGGCCTCTTTGAGACGACTATCACGAAGCTCACGCTCCAAGCGCTAAAAATAAAGAAAGATTGTTAATTGGATAGTCGCATAATGACAAGAAACGGCTAGACGTACTTCAATCTGATCTGCACAATCCTTGGCGGCCCGCCTGATCTCTGCCGTACTTTCACTACTCGTTTCTCGACGTGCTTGAAGCTCCTCAAGTTTTCGTCGAGTATCTTTGAGCTCCCTATCATAAATAGTATATTCGAGAGTTCGCCTATCGCGATCCCATCGTTGGTATTCTTTAAGCTCTTTTGTTTCATTTTCAAGTGTTCTAAGTCGATCTTCTATACTACTTAACAATTCGCTAATCTGCTCTCGTTTTGCTTCTGATTATAAATGAAAATATAGTTGAAATCAGGATTACCCGACTCTCTAAAAATCTGTTTACTTTCTTCTTTCCTTTCATCATAAACACGAGTACCAGCAACCTCTCTGAGTAGCTTGAGGCGTTGATGATCTGGAGCAGTGGCAAGTTGAGTAATCTAAGCCAAAAAATACAAGAAGTTATATACCTTCCCCTGCTTCACGATATAGTATGGATTGCTTCGTGAAAACCCAGCACTCTCCAACATATTCATAACATCGGCCTTTCTACCGAATCCAATAAGACAATAGAATGACTAACGTGACCATCTTTTTGTCTAAAAAGTATTGATCCTTTTTGCTACCGATTATTCGCCTTAGTGAAACCTCGCTCTTGTCGAACTAAAGCAATCAAAAAGACATACGTACTAACCGGAATACGATTATCTGAATTATCAAAGATCATTTCGACATACGCCGATATAACTCTAGGTCCTGTGCCTTCGTGTAAAAGATTCTGACGCTCTTGATTACTCAAATGACTATATTCATCAGATAGTACAAACTGAATGGCTTGAAAGAAATTTGATTTTCCTGAGCCATTTCTACCCACTTATGGGGTTAGCAAAAAATACAGTTTTACCAATGATATTGTGGTGGGGACTAAACTCTTCTGGACAAGTCTGATCTCGATAGCTACGAAAGCCTTGGATAATAACTTTCTTTATATACATTGCCAGATTAAATAAAGATAGAGAATAGGGAAAACGGGAGGGGGAGAGAGCATCAGAGAACCCGGGATAGATATCGTATTGAGTATAACAAAATAGTCAATATCGTTCGTAAACTGTTTATATACTATATGTATATATTAAATATAAACTATAAATATTTAATAACCTAAGCTAAAAATGAGATAAATAAATTTAAACTAATTTTTTTTTTAATTTT